CGTCCTCGGGGGGCAGGCCTAGCACCCGGCTCTGGATGGGAAGCGCAGGGCAGGGCGTGAGGAGAAACCCACGCGCCTTGCACCAAGGCCCTGGCCGTGTGACTGGTCCTGGAGTACCCTGGCCCGGGGTGTGGAGAGCGAGGGACGGGGGTCCGGTGGGGGACCCAGTGCCCATGGCTCGGCGTCGGTGGAGTAGGCCCGCCTCCCTGCTGGAAGCGAGGCATGGGGCAGCAGGCGGCGTGGCCGTGCATGGCGAGGCTCCGTGGGAGGTTCTGTGGGGGTGGGTCCCCTGGGGGGTTCCCTGGGAGGCAGGGATTCAGGAACGAGGCTGAGAGAGTCATTAGAAGGTTTTCTCTGTGATTTCCCAAAGGAGAGCCTGGGGTTGCACACACAGCTAGAAGGAAACCACCAGTGCCAACTAGCAGCGGGGAAGTCCTCCCAGGAAGTCCAGCAGGAGGCGGGCCTCGCGGGGACCCAGGTGTTGGAAGGGGAGCAGCATGTGGGCTTCGGAAGAGGCATGGGGCAGCAGGCGGCGTGGCCGTGCATGGCGAGGCTCCGTGGGAGGTTCTGTGGGGGTGGGTCCCCTGGGGGGTTCCCTGGGAGGCAGGGATTCAGGAACGAGGCTGAGAGAGTCATTAGAAGGTTTTCTCTGTGATTTCCCAAAGGAGAGCCTGGGGTTGCACACACAGCTAGAAGGAAACCACCAGTGCCAACTAGCAGCGGGGAAGTCCTCCCAGGAAGTCCAGCAGGAGGCGGGCCTCGCGGGGACCCAGGGGTTGGAAGGGGAGCAGCATGTGGGGCCTTCGGCAGAGCCCGGCCCAGGTGTGTGCCTTCAGTGCCGCTGGGTCACCGGGAGTCTGGCCTGCAGGGGACGTTCTGGGCGGTGACTGATTCCCACGAGAGCCACCTGCACACGCTGGCCGTTCACTTTGCAGTGTGGGTGCCGCAGACCCTTCCTTGGGGGTTGAGCAGGCCTGGGCGTGTTAGGAGAGGGCCTGCCCGGGGTCACGGGGACGGAGAAGCTGTGGTTGTCCCTGGGGATGGTCAGGGACCCAGGACAGTAGACGTAAGGCCGGCCCTGGACACGAGCCCAGGAGAGGGTGGGTCCCGCATAGAGCTGAGGGGGCAAGGCAGAGGGTCCCGCCGTGAGGGCTGGCGGCGCAGGGTCCCCGCCGAGGGCCTCGGAGCCGGGCGGGCCTGTGAAGGGGAAGAATGCCGCCCAGAGAGCTGGGTCACGCCTGCTGGCGTCTTGCCCTCCCTGTTCTCCTTCCTGTGTGAGGGGTACCCCATGGCCGCTGCTCGGCACACTCCTGCCAGCCGGTGCCTGGGCCACGCTTGGCTCTTCATCGAGCCTGGGACGGTGATGGGCCCTGGCCAGAGGAGCTCTGGGGGTGCCAGGTCACCTGGTACCCAGGCGGAAGGAGCAACAGTGGGTGTGGGCCACTCAGGACGGGCCTGCTCGTCTGGGCCTGGGGCTCAGTGACCACTTGGCTGAAGATAGGTGTGTCATGTCCACTTCTGACACCAAGCCCACACGGGGAGTTTCAGGATCTTCGTGCAGTTGTCTGAGGCTTCTGAAGGTAGGTGTCTAGTCTGAGTTGCGGGTCAGCCTGACGGTCCTGCCCCCTGGTCCCCTGCAGAGCTCGCCCGGGTGCCCCTCCTGTGTGCACACAGCACGGCCTTGGAGGTGGCAGCCGGAGACTTGGGTCTGGAGACCATGCACAAGGCTCATCTCCTGCTTCTTCTGACGGAGCTCAAGGAAGAAATCGACCTCTTAAAGGTAGAAAATAGAAATTTACACGAGAAATTGCAGCACGAAATCCGCCTAAAAGAGGACTTGGAGCAAGTAAGTTGAAACACCTCACCCCTCTGCACTTCCCGCGTCCACCGGGGCCCCGTGTTAACTGGCTGGGGTCAGCGCAAGCCCCCGAGGTCCACCGCGCCCTCCACCTGGAGCAGTGTTTGCTTGCTGGGTGCCTTCCTTGGGGTCGGGATGGGATGCCACCTGAGCCGGGGCCCGAGTGTGCTCCTTACAGGGGCCTCCAGTGCTCAGGGCAACTGGCCGGGGTCCTCCGAGGGGCTCCAGGGTGGTTGGCGAGACCACCTTCAGGCCTCATTCACTGTGTCTTCTGTGGTGTCCTGAGCCCCAGGCTCTTCTTGCAGACCGTTGGTTGTGCAGCCGCGGACGCACGCGGTGATGAGACCCCTCCCCTAAATTACTGGTGAGCCTCACTGCAGTTCGGAGGCGCGGAGTGGAGGTGACTTTCTCTCGTGTTCCCTCCGAGCGGCCCAGGGTCACCATCTGGGAGCTGCCGCTGTCGCCCCTGCTCTTCCCCGCGAAGCCTCCCTGGGGTTCCTCATCCATCAAAGCAGTTGCATAGGAAGCTGTTGTTACCGGCAAGGTGGATCACGTGTTGTCCCCACACTGAGGTGCTGGGGGTGCAGACGGGGGCAGAGCAGGCTCGGACAGGTTTGTGGGAGGCCCGCGGCCCCATGGCGCGTGGCTCGCTCGCCGGCCGTCTGCCTTGGCACACGACCTTCTCAGGCACCGTTCCCTGAGGGACAGACTCTCCTTGAAGGCTTTTGACGTTCAGGGGTATATGTATTTCCTGGACTACCATTTTATCTCCTTATGTAAATTATTAAGAGAGGTGTGTGGAATTCTCTCTCCTTTCAGTTCTCTCAGTTTTTACTTTAAGTATTTTATGGTTCCGTTATTGCACATTTATGATATGTCTTCCTGAGAAATGTACCCTTTTATCGTTAATGAAATGTCCCCTTTCTGTCCTGTAGCTTCTTAGTATTGAAATCTACCTGCTCTTTTACCAGTGTAGTCACTCCAACCTTCGTTTGCATTTTCTTCGATGGAGTACGTTGTTCTGTCCATTTTACCTTTGACGGTATCTCCTGGGGTTATTGCCGACCCCACGGGCTAAGGGTTCAGTCCCAGGAGACCGCCCCGCCCCCATCAGTCGCCTCCCCACCTTCTCGGTGCTGGGCCCTTCAGTTCTCCTGGCCTTGGCTGGCCTGCTCTGAAGTCTGCTCGCGCGTGTGTGACCAGGGACCAGCCCGAGAACTGGGCTGGATCCACTCACAGATTTTGCAGCTCTCCTGCTCTGCCTCTGTCCTAATGGGCTTTCCCCCCTCACCTCCCAGCTCCTCTGGTTCAGACGAGTAAGATTTCTGTGCACGGCACAAACAGGTCGGTGACCCAGGCCATTTCCTTATTCTGGGTGTCAGACCACCCCCCCACCCCAACTCCGCCCCACACACCTGCCCCCTGCCCCGGGATCTCTTGGATTTTATCTGGAGTCTGCAGTTGTTGTCTCTGATGAGAGCTGATTCTCAGCCATCACTAAGAGCAGGCCCTAAACTTTAATAACTTGAATAAAGAGTTGAGGTCAATCTCACAAACCTTTGTGGTTTTGTTTTGTTTCTTTTTGATGATGATCAGTAGTCTGTTGACCTTTCTTTCCTTTTTTGAAAATTAGGGTATTTGTGTGTGTTCAGCTTTCTGGTTCACCTCCCTTTTCACATGACACCTTTAAGGGTGTTGGTTTCAGTCTCTTGCTCAGGTCCCTTGTAGAACCTGGAACGTTCATTGTGCAAGTCCAGAGACTTGGCCTGGTGCTGTTTGCTGCTCTCCTGTGGCTCCGTCCTGGCTGGTGGTGGTTCCTCTGTCTGGGGGGTTGGCCTTCCCTTGACGGGAGGCCCCGTACGTGTCTGATCCCCTGGGCTGGTCTTGGCACCGCAGAGGAGCTCCCCTTCGCGTGTGTGTCCAGACTTGCCAGCCCCAGAGGTAACAGTCGGGGCCAGGTGCCGGGATGCAGACACATTTTACTTAAGCAAATAATCTTAGATTTGTGCATTTTAGGCTCCTTTATTCCCATCAGGATAAGAAACACTGCCATTGCTCTGTTCAGTGCAATATATTATGGAACTAGTGCTTGTGTGTTGTGGAGCTTCTCTATCTTCTGAGATGGATTTGGGTCGTTGCTGCCAGTGACCTTTTCATTTAATTTCCTCCTTCTTAAATAAAATTGCGCTTTCTGCAGGTGAAATGTACTTTAGTTGAAGCCCACCAGGAAGCGCTGAGGAGCGCTGAGGAGAAGCTTGAGCTAACGAGACGAGGACTCGGCGAGAGAGCGGCCGAGTGGGAAGTCACGAGTGAGGACCTGAGGAGAGGGGCCGAAGAGAGGCCGACGCAGCTGCTCCTCGAGCTGCGGGAACAGGCCGAGTCCGAGAAGCTGTCCATGATGCACAGGTTTGAGCTTCGAGAAGCCGAAATGAGGCAGCTGCAGGACCAGCAGGCGGCCCAGATCCTGGACCTGGAGGGGTCGCTGATGGAGCAGCAGGGCCGCCTGAGGCAGCTGGAGCTGGGGCTCTCAGGGGACGAGTCTCTGCAGTGCAGCCAGTGTGGCCGGGAGCTGGGCGGTGGTCTGGCCCCCACGGACCGGGACCACCTGAAGGAGGACTGTGCCCTCCAGCTGCAGCTGGCCCAGAGCAGGTGGGTGACGTTCCTGTGGCCGCCTGTTCAGTATGGAGCCGCCCGCCTGCCTGGGTGAGGCCGGTCCCCAGGAGAGCACGCGTGGCTCTTGGGGCTGCGGGACCTGCTCGCAGCAGCAGCACCCCCGTCCTTCCTGTGGAGCCCCTGTCCCGTGATCCACGCCGCCCTGCATGCATCTGTGACAGTAGTTTGTGTTCTTTGCACGGTTTACGGTTTCAGTAGCAGAACTTCAGCGTCATTTGTCATAAGGACGTGTGGTTCATTTCTGAAGTTTCTTGTGTATTTTAAACTCAGGTTTAAAAAAAAAAATTAGAGAGTTTTTCTGAACTGTGTATGTACTTCCCTGAAGCTTTAAATAGGTTTAGAGTGTGATTTGGTTTGCTGCCTCTTTGCACATCTGGGCTGTAGTGACCAGGGGTGTTGGTGAGCCCTGGTGTCACCGGAGCTACTGTTGGTTTTGCTGCTTCTCATGCGGCAGCTGCTCCCCAGCGTCATGAGGCAGGTGCAAGAGCTTCTGCTCTGGGGTCTGAGAACTGAGTTCAAATCCTGACCCACTGTGTGAGCTGGAAGGACGCAGGCATGGTGGACAAACTCATGAGGCCTTAGCGCCCTCCTGCATGGGCTGATCAGTGGAAAGGCTTTCGTGGTGTCTGGTCCACAGTTAGTACCTGAATCCCATCCCAGCTCTTGTCACTCACCTGAACGTACCACGTGGCACTGACGTGTAATGGGTGCCCCGTAGAGATTCTTCCCTGTTCCTTCTGGGGTGCTGGGTGCTTCAGTTAGAGGGGCGTCTCCCTGCTTCTGTGTTTGCTAGCCAGTGTCATCTGCAACTCATTTAATTCATGCCCCTAATTCACCCCGAAGGGCTTTTGGGGGTCTTTTGAATGCTCTTTGCAGCCCTGTTGGCTCCTGTAAACGATGCCACTGCCCCTTCCCTGTTGAGGTACTCTCCATGCTGAGGAGCAGTCGCACCTGCTTCCCTGTGGTGTCTGTGGAAATGTGTGCGTGGTTTCTTGCTGGGGGTCCTGTGTCCTGTACTTAAGTCTGTGACCGGGGACGCCTGGGCTCTGGCGTCCGAGCTCTGGCCTCGTGGGCTGCTTGGCTCTCCGCTCACAGCTGGCAGTGGGGCTCAGACCATCTGCAGCCCTGGGAGGTGGGAAGAGCAGGGAGAATCTGGCACGATGGTCTCACCAGTGGAAAGTGGCGTCTCCTGTGAGGAATGTGAGGTTGATGCTTTTGTGGCTGCACGTTCACTTGGCTTGTCTCCTCAGGTTTTTAGAAGAACGTAGAGAAATCACAGAGAAATTTGCCGCAGAGCAAGACACCTTCCTGCGGGAGGCCCGGGAGAAGCACGCCCGCGAGCTCCAGCTGCTCCAGGAGAGACACCGGCAGCACGTCCTGTCCTTGACGGCGGAGCTGGAGACCCGGCACCAGGCTGAGGTGGACACGCTGAGGGCTTCTTTGGAGCGAGAGTGGTGGGCTCTCTCAGAAGCCCGTGTGGCTGAGCTGCAGGCAAAACATGCTGCGGAAATCAGTGCTTTGGAGACCAGACACGCGTCACGCCTGGACGCTTTGGAGTCGCGTTACCTGTCTGAGATGCAGACCTTGCGGGGCCTGGAGCTGCTGGGCCTAGAGGAGCAGCTACAGAAAGAGGATGCTTCTCACCCCATGGTCTTGACTTGGGTGTTAGAGAAGCTGAAGCTGAAACACGATGAAGAGCCCCAGTCCACAGAGGACGGCCTGAGAACGGGAGAGAACACAGAGCATGTGGAGGGTGTGAGAGCCTCCCGGCTGCGCAGAGCTCGCCAGGTGAGGTGCGGGGTTTTGCCCTTCCCCAGGACTGGTGTCTTCTGTTGCCCATGTGTGTCAGCTGCACGTGTGTGTGTGTGTGTGTGTGTGTGTGTGTCCCAGGGACAGCGGTGGATTTCCTGGTGAGGTGGTACAGAACAGTGAGTTTTACGCGTTTTTTGGTCTCAGGCTTCTTGGTGAAGGCTTTGGATCTCTGATCCTGGAAAAACGTGCGCCTGTGCCTGCGCACAGCGTTCCCTGTGAGATTTCAAAGGGTTCAGAGCACTCCTCAGGGCCTCTACCGATTTCTGTGAGATTAAACCCTCTGTCCTGTGTCAAGAGCAGCGACTGTCCCCTTGGCAGGTGCTTTCAGCTGTAGTATGAAAGGAGCTTCTGGAGACGGCCCCATTGCCCTGGCCAGCGCTCCCCTTTCCTCATCTGCAGACCCATGGCATTTGTACGTCGTGAATAGGATGCATTTATTTGGCTAGAACATCATCACGTAGCGGGAATTCAGTGTGGGGACGGGCTGCTCTGTGCCCATTGGGCCAGGTGTGCGTGCCAGGCACTCAGGAATGATCCTGTTCTGGCGCCTTCATACTTTTGTCACGTATTTAAGAAGTAGATATTCAAAATTACAAAGCAGGAAATCTCAGCCTTGTGAGAACACAAGTACCAGGTAGAACCTTTGCTCGTGACTGAGACGTGCTTTATGAGATGTTCCCAGGGGGGTTTTGTCCTTTGCTCCTGGTTTAGCTTGAAAAGGGCAGCCTAGTGCTGAGAGTGGCTTCATTTTATGCTTCGGCTCTGCCTGTCCTGTGTGGTCTGCAGGCGAAATCTTTTCCATTTTTTTAGAAAATGTTTATTTATTTGGCTGCACTGGGTCTTGGTTGCAGCACGCGGGATATTTGTTGCCGTGTGCGGGATCTTTCGTTGCGGCGTGAGAACTGTTGCGGCATGTGGGATCTAGTTCCGTGACCAGGGATTGAACCTTGGCCCCCTGCTTTGGGAGCGTGGAGTCTTAGCTACTGGACCACCAGGGAAGTCCCTGCAGGCGAGATATTGAACAAATTCCCCGAGGGCTGAGCACATTCCACCTGGGGTCATGAGCCTCTGGGCTGTCCTTGAATTCGGGCCCCAGGGCAGGTGTCACAACTCCTCCCTGGGAGTTGTCCTTTTGGTGTGAATTTGGAAGGCTGTGGCGCCCCCAGGCCAGTCCAGTGAGCTCTCAGTGTCAGCTTCAGTTTCTTCCCATGCAGTTGGATGTGTGGGGAAGGGAGCTTGTTCCCAGCCTGTGGATTTAAATTAGATTCCCTTGGGTTATAGGGTTTGAAGACGATGATGTTCTGAAAGAATATCAGGAGGAGGAAGTGCACATTTTTTACATGAGAAAAGCTGTGGATTTTAAACCGTGGCTTAATTTTATTAGTGTAAAACTGCACTTGTAGGAAGCACGTGGAGTGTTTCCCACCTCGCAGGTGGGAGGTGTGTGTGGGTGGCAGGACAGGCGTGTGGGAGGCAGTGCCCTGTGGACTCGCTCTCTGCAGGTGGAGCTGGTGTGGTCTGCTGAGGGCCTGCCCCTGGGGCAGCAGCCAAAAGCAGCCGTGCAGGAGCTCAGGGGCGGGCATGTGGCCGAGAAGCAGGTGCAGGAGGCTCTGCAGGAGGGGGCCCCCACAGGTTCCTTCTGGGCAGCGGTGGCTTCAGGGATGGCCTGGGGGTCAGGCTCTGGCCCCCACGGGGATGCCGGTGACATCAGCAAAACCGCTGGGCCTCCTGAGGCTTCTCCTTGTGACCAGAGCCCTTGGGCATACGTGAGGCCCGCAGTGGGGTGGACACTGGGCAGGCCTCACACCTGCCAGGAGGGCCCGGGGCCTGCACTCAGCAGGGGTGGGGTCTCAGGGGCTGCCTGTGCCAAGTGCCCGGCAGGAGCTCCATGTCCTCTGCATCCCGTGCTGCACCCCAAACCCTGGGGCCCATGGTGCAACCCGGGGGCACAGCCCTGCACAGACTCTGCCCAAGTGCCCTCTGGCCCGATGTCTTGTCTTCTTTGTTCTCGTGGCGCTGGACACCTGCTGCCTGGCAGTTTCTGGAACACCCTGGCTGTGACCTCCTCTGAACTTGGCCTTGTCCCCCGCCTGGAAACTCCTACTCTTCCCTCTCTTTCGTCAAATCGTTTTCTCCATGACCCCTTCCTTCTGGGATGGCCCCTCCGTCCGGGACTCACGGCCCCACGCCCTGTGCCCTGCGTGGCCCACGGTGCGTCCCCTGTGGAGCGCGTGCCATGTGCTGCACTCCTCTCACCTGCGCTCTGCTCAGCGGCGGCCCGGGCCCAGAGCGGTGCCCAGACCGGGGCTCCAGGGCAGCACACCCGGGAGGGTTTTGCTGCCAGGGGCCCCGTCCTGCACACCTCTTCAGGGCAGTTGTTGCCGAGGTGCCCGTGGCCCTGCCACACAGTGTCGCTAGGATCTCGGAGGTCAGGTGGGCAGTAAGGACCTGAACGAGGGCAGGGCAGCAGCAAAGTGTCCAGATGTGTCCCATGGGGGCCGTTTGGTGGAGGCAGCTGCCCTGCTCTAGGTTGACCGAGGCTTGCGGGGAGCCCTGGGGCGGGCGGTGTCGGGGGTCTGCCGGGGCCAGGGAGAGGGCCCGTGCCTCTGGACCCAGGGGAGGCCGGAGGAGGCAGTGGCTGTGGAGGAGGATGGAGCAGGCGGGCTGCTTGGGTGTGTGGGTGACGTGTGTCCACGCAGAACAACCACCCCCAGCAGCTGCTCTTAGGGATCGGCACGCGCTATGGGCTCTTCTTTAGATTTTTTTTCTTTTTTTTTTGGTTCCTCTGGGCGGCTTGCAGGATCTTAGTTCCCTGACCAGGTATTGAACCCGGGGCTAGGCAGTGAAAGCGCTGAGTCCTAACCACTGGACCGCCAGGGAATTCCCACTTCTTTGGAATTTTAACTTTGCGCATCACCATGTTTATAAGCAACATGTCAAATTGCGAGGTCGAGGTTACAGTGGAGTCTAACAAAGCAGTTGGAATACGCGGGGTTGCCATGGAGGCTGGGACCTGGCCCGGGTTCTCGTGACCCGTGTGGGGCTCACACCCCTCAGTGCCCTTTGCATTGACACAGGATGGCAGAGGTGTGTGCGGACGCCATGCAGCCAGGCCCCACATGATGTCACTGCCCCGCCTGCCCGCCCTGCATGTGTGTAGTGCACACGCGTAGCACACATGCAGACGTGTGTATGCACGGAATTTTGCACACCGTCCTCGCAGGGCTTGAAAAGCCCCTGGAGTCCGTCTGAGGACACTTGGCTGGACGCCCCTGAGGCCCTTCTGCCTCGGCGTTCTTAGATTTGAAATACTTGTGTGTCCGCATCTTCTGGTCTTTCTGGGGGTAAGGATGACTGGTGCTTTTTGTGAAGCATACGTACAAACTTATTGAGGTTATAACTCTTTGTAGGTCCTTTTTCTGTGGGGCTTTTCAAAAGGATGTGTTAATAGCTCATTTTGAACCGTAAAATAAGGCCTGGCATTCGCTAGGTTTCCTAGGTTAATAGTCGGTGCTCTTAGCTGTGTGTATACATATTGACCGATCTGAAATTAGCATGTAAACTGTTTTTTCACGTGGAAGTTCCCAGAATGAGAATTAGTGGATTGGAGAAAAATAAAGGGAAGCATAAATATGACATTTATCCCTTTTGTTTGGTTGAAAAGTCTGGGAGTTGGCATTTTTCTTGGTTTGCTCCTTGGACCCTGAGATGCCCTGAATCCGGGTTTCCCATGTTTGGGGAATGAGAGGACAGGAGGGATCCACACCCAGGAAGCCCATGCCCACAAACGCTCAGAGAAACACGATAAAAGCCCGGCTGAGACCAGACATGCAGCTGGTCACTGATAAAGTCACACAAACCGTCTTCTCTTCACAATGTCATCTTACTCAGGTTTCATTAAAGAGGACAAAACTCCCTCATCCCCCTCAGTGTCCCCTCAGCCCCCATGTCCCCTCAGTGTCTCCTCAGCATCCCCTCAGTTTTCCCTTGAGGCAGGAGATATATGGGCCCAGGCTGAACAGTTTCTTCCCTGTGGACAGAAGCTCCATGAAAGCAGGATAATGGAGGAGGCTGGGCCCTGCCCAGATAGAAGATAAGAGACCATATATTCCTCATTCTCGAAGTCAAGGAGACCCTCCTGACTACACATGCGCAGAAGGGCTCCTTGGAGGTCCAAAAGGAAGGGGCGCCACGTCATAGTAAGTGATGCCAGCTACCCATAGATAGGCCTCTTCGCTGGAATCCATCTTGGCTAAGAGATGTGCACGTACGCATGGGAGGACCTTGAGATACACCAAATACGGACTCAGAACCAGGCAGAGCAGGATGGTTGGTCAAAGGAAACCGGGAAGAAATGCCCACGAAAGTGATTCAAACTGCCATGAGGGCGTGACACTCTTCTCTGAGCCTGCCCGTGTGTCTACTGTACTCTTTTTCCTTCTAAAGAACACTTTACTTGCTTCACTACTTTCCGTCTCTCTGCGGAAATTCATTTTTTCATAGCTGACGGGCCAGGGCCTTGTCACTGGCTGCTGGTCCCTGGTGGTCCAATGGCCAGGATTCAGCGCTCTCACTGCCGCTGCCCAACCTCAATCTCTGGTCGGGAACTGAAATCCTGCTTCAAGCCGCTGCAGGCCGAGACCACCTGAGGTCACCCTCACCCCCGCAGCCCGCTTTCTGTCCCTGCAGTGTCCTAAGTGCCCCAGCCCCTTGAGTTCAGTCCTCAAGGGCCATTACAGAGGGGTCAAGTGGCTGCCGGGACGGTGCTTGCTGCAGGCACCGTGGAGGAGACGGTGGTCCTGGCCGCAGCCCAATTGCTCTCATGCTCTCGGTGCTGTCGTTGCTGTCGTTGCTTTCGGTGCTCTCGTGCCCTCGTGAACAACGTCCTCCTCCTCTGGGGCGCTGCCCTGAGACCTGCTGACCTGTGGAGGTGTCTGAGTTTCATTTCTCTAATCCTCTGAAGAGTCAGACTCTGC